TCTCAATTGCAGAGCTATGGGAAGGGTGATGTTACCATACTGCAAAAACCATTTAAGCTTATAGTCACTATTCTACTGCATGTTATCAGCCCAAATGCAAAGAATCAAACCTCCATATCCAGGGCGGAAATCTTTACTGTGGATAACTGACTGTACCAGACAAAATACTGTAAGAGCTTTTTATATGTTTTGTTTTGAAGCTTGAAAAAGAAAAATAAAATAACACCATCAACCCATTGAGAGCTAATAATTAACCTCGTGGCTCATACTGCAGCTCATGTGTGCTTCCCTCACACCCTGTATAATTTATTCCCGAGACAGTAGCACCCACTTCAAGAATGATTTTTTTTCCCTCCTTTCATCAGAGCAAATTAGGAATAACCTCACTAAAGCCAACTCTGCTACACTGATGAAAAAATTAATCAGCAATGAACACACACCCTGGGATTTTCTCAAAAATTTGACAGATCTGTTAGTACTGAATTCTCAATCTGCCCTAGTTACCAGATGTGAGTCGGAAGGGCACTAAAAGGATAATAGATGTGCAGATATTTCCTAGCTAAAGTTACATCTGGTAAAGTTATATTCTTACAAAAGTATCATTTCTGGGATATCCTAAAGAAACAAAACAAACAAAAAACAAAAAAAAAATCTATTGAATCTGAGTTTAAATATATTTTTGCCGAATTGCCTCTTTTCTCTCTTCTTAGCTCCCACAGCTGAACTCCCAAACCCAGGATGTTCACTGTCAATAAACACTGCGCAAATACACGTAAATAAAGGGGATCCTCAAAACGATGTGCCTGCAGTTACTGCCTTAGCCACAAGAGAGCACAGTAACCTGAGCACATCCCCAGTCTTTTGTAAATGCCTAGTGTACGTACAGAGCACTGTGTAACTCAAAAATTATAATTAAAATGTCTTAGCTCCTGTATTTATAGTAACATTTAAACTACTGTGCTTTCTTGAAGTCGGAGTCATTTACTTGAGAACAGCACACTTTATGGTGAACAGATCTTTGAAACTATACCATGGGGATATGGCACAGCCACATGTAACTCAATATATGTCAACAGCTGTAAAAATATTGGTAGGAGAAGGGAAGAAAAAGCCATGAGCACAGATCAAGTGCCCTGTCTCTCACATCTGACTGTTTCCAGATTCTCCCTCACTCCTCTCCTCGCTGTCCATCCCCTGTCCATCCCTCCCGTCCCTCCCACACCCCCACACCCCCCCCCCCCCCCCCAAATAATTGGGCAATTTTGGTGCAAGCTGTCATAAAAGCCAATGCTTCTTTGAGGCTGAATGATCAAAAAGGTTATAAATGAAAATGATTTCAATGTTGGAGGCCTAGTGAGTGACCAAGGCACTTTCTGTAGCAGAAGGGTTTGTTCTAATCTTACCAACTGCACGCTTTCGTCAGAGCATATTCCTAGGGAGTTCACAGCTCCCCAGGGCGAAGCTACAGTAAATTCTGACTAATCCCCTCTGCATACAAATGAGCCCCTGGTAAGAGAAACTGCAGGGTCAGGCAGCTTATGCACAGCACTGATTCTCCAGGTCTGTGCCTTCAGCAAAGCAAACAAAATGGCACTATATTTTTTTTTCTTTTTAATGGGACACAGTTCCTGCAAAATAAATGCTTGTATCCTAAAATACAGTACAAGATGAGGAAAGAAGAAAAGGGTGCAGAAAGAAAAGAGCACCTCTCCTCTCTTGTGCCCTGGCAGGGGGGTAAATAGACATCATCAGACCTTTGATAAATTAATGAATTTAAACTTTTGCTTGGTTAAGGGTGTGGTGGGCTTGGACTAACATTAAATGTAAAAGGAACATGGCACAAGATAGAATATTCACTAGCCTATTATAAAATAGCAGGATTGAATCCTGCACCTCTACTGGCTGGCATCACCATATCAAGACACTATAGAGCACTGACTCATTTATATTCATTCCCTGGCATTTCAAGGGAACTTTAAATGTTAAGTTTTGCACCTATTGGAGCTTTAAAAGTCTTAAGCGTTGCTTAATGCAAGATGTGATTAATTTTTCCAGCTGCGTGTTATTTAATCACAAAGCATATATTAGTTATAATTAACTCTTGATAATATGGGATACTCCAGTTTCACAAAAATTCCTTTGAAGCAATTGGGTGCACTGCAGTTCAAATGACTGGAGCTGTTGGCACTAACCACCCCGCAGAGCTGAGGAACAAACAGGAAGGGGCTACAGGGTCATCCCCTCTGGAAGCTCACCAGGGACATGGTTAGTGCTTTGGGCACTCAGCACCCACTGGGACGCAACAGACAGCCCTGAAAGGATAGCTCAGAGCTTTTATTTCCATAGACCTTCTGAAAATCACCTGTATTTTGGATATATATAGACCCTGAGATGCTTACAGTCTGCAGCCATTTAAATAGAACTCAAAAAAGATGCCATCCTAGGACCTTGCATACGGTTTTATAATACGCATTTTTCATGTACTCCCATTTAATATAGTTATGGGGTCAAGATGTAGACTGGTTTAATTTTATAGTCTCAAATTTGCTATTTCTTGGAGACAACTCTGAAAACTATAAAGACATTTGAACACTCTACAGTTCAACTGTAAATGTTCTGGTTTAGATTCCACCTTAAGTTACATAATCTTGTAATTTTCTAATTCCTTTCTGTGCTTAAAATAGACTTATTTGAACCTTGCAAACTCACCCTAAAATTCATTGGGTAAAGAAAATGCTCTTCTACAGTGTTGTGGTATTAAGAAATAATCTAACCAACTAAACCCAAAGCACTGGCTGAGGAACTGCTGCTGAATATCTGATCTAACAGAGCCTTAACATGCCACAGGGATGGATCTGCACCAAGCCTCCACTCTGCTTCATGGCCGACATGGTCCTGGGAGAGTGTATGTGTAGCAAGCACTGCAAACCCTGGCACGTCCTTCCAGCTGTGCTTCTATGTGCCCCAAAAGAGAGGAGGGGAGGGCTGGCAGCTAAACCCCTCCCGAGCTCCAGGCTGGACTCCTGCTATGTCCCACACACCCCACCAACCTCTCCCTACCTTTTTGGTGGTGGGAGGCTACCAGCCAGAAGTCCTGTTGCAGTTAAAAAAACAAACAAACAAACAAACAAAAAAAAAAACAGAATAAAACCAAAACCATTTTAAAGTGGCAGCACTCCCATCTACTTGCCATGAGACAACATTAAATGTTTTGCACTGCTTCAGCCATGAGGAATTGCAGTCTATAAAAGGCACCACTGCACTGAAGGAGGGACTGTGTACCACTCCATGGAAATAAAGTCTCCCATCGCAATCAGGAAAGTGTGTTATAGGGATGACCTTCTGACACAAAGCACAAATCTATCAGTTTGACACTTTTTACATGCTTCTGGTATTTATCTCTTCTGCACTCCCAACTCATCTTTTAATTAGACAAACTCTCATGAAAGTCAACAAGAGTTTCATCTGACTGAGAGATGGGGTAAAGCATAATTGGATCACAATTCCAGAGGTAGCAAAGAATGAAATGCTCTTCTAGATAGGCACCACAACTGCAGAATCTTTATACTTAAAAGTAATATATTTTATAGTCAAATTAAGCATTTGGTGGGGGAAGCTTCAGCAGAGGCTTTGCCATCTAACCCAGGAGGAAATTCTGAGCTCTTCCATCTGCAGATCCAAAGTCACCACCAGGAGAAATCCACTGCAGCTATTGACAAGGGCCAGAGCCCAGCCACACAAGCCAGGTGAAGATGAACAAGAACAGTTAATCAATGGCATAAGTCAATGACACGTCATTAGTGAATTTGATGCTAATTTTTTACATACCTCTAAAATGCCCCTGCAAGTAAGTAGAGATGAGTTTCGCAACACACCAATACATGTTGGAGCATAATGTTTAAAGGAGAAGCTAGTACTAACATAAGCAGCATCATGTAAGGTTTCGTTTCTTTCTGTTTCTTAAGTAGACTAAGGACCAAACAATTAAACAGCCTAGAGCACAATGTCAAAGCATGCAGCTTTAGCCAAGAGTGTTCCACCATGAAGCTAAGAAACAAAGTGGCTGTGGAATAGAAATGTTCACCAGCAAGCACTATACAGTACGTATTACTATTATGCTTTACAAGAATGTACATATTTAAAATTCTGACAGAATAAATAAAGCTCCTAAGTGACCCATATAGTGAATTTTCCTTTAAAAAAGGCAGGAGCTGCTGAAAGCCAAATTCTTGTTGCCGAATTCCTGGACACAGTTTCCAACTATTCCAATCAAGCAGCTCTGTGGTTGGGCTGGGATTTCAAACTTGCCACAGTATGAAGTCCAGTTTGGGCTATATTCCCTTCCCTCTCTCAGCTTGATGAAGGCTTCCCCGCAAAATCAAAAGGCTTACTGTCAAGTTTTCGATTGGTCTGGGCTTCATGCTATCATATGTGTGGTGATGGCAAGGAATATGAATGCGGCTCTGGCTCCACCATGGGGCCTTGAGGTTTCGTCCAATTCATCCAGGGACCTTATGAAAGTAGAGCGGGTCTCTTTTCATGTATATTCCTACTGCTGAAATTCCCTAGATGCACTGCAGTGTGCAAACGCGGTGTAAAAAAGAACAATAGCTTGAGAAAAACTGAGGCAAGTCTACTGAGTATGCTTAAGATAAACCAGCCGAGCTAATGCAAAAAAACCTGACAGACATTCTTCGGTATTCATGGCTTAATAAAAATAAAACCTTTTAGAAATGGAGAAAGCTTCTGCATAGTAGCAAATATAAAATTGCCACATTAACTTATAAAAATTGATACCGGTATCTAAAATGTAAATGTATAATATTCAGACCCTCATGTGTTCAGATGAGATTAGACAGATAAAAATACCCCAAACCTTTAAAAAAAACAAACCAAAACAATGCAAAACCCACTAAAAGCCCCATCCCCTAGCTGCCCTCCCCTCCCCACAAAACCAAAATATCTTAATTCTGTTTTTACGTCAATTCATTCACCTACAACTGCCTATGTTAGGAATTGTTTAATGGCAGGAACAAGTTAACAGCAATATAAAATCTCACAGTGATGCATATTACAGTATATCATTGCTAAACTGAGTGAAAGAAAGATCTGTAAGAATTCAAGCTGTTACTTCGTGTAACAGCTGCTAAAAATGAATTCTTTTGTTAGGCTGCTTTGTTGTTGTTATTATTGCTGATAATATAGTACAATGCTCCTTTCTAGAAGAGCAACAGAATGCTAGCAAGCTTCATTTCCACTAATTGTGATATATTCTGTGGTTCAGGCCTATAATGCATTTTAATTGCACTATATATAATTTAATTTTTCTACCAAGAAAATTTGCATCTGTTACAACTACGTGTACTAAGAAAATTTATCACTCTGGTTTCAAAATCACAAGTAGAAAATTATGCTCAATATTTACCACTTTAACGAATTTAGATATTTAGCTCTTTACAAGTGCTTCATACAATCTATGCCAACACTGGACTAACTTACTAATGTTGTTCTTCAAACAGCAGGAAGTCTTACTAGTCCAGTAGTTATTTCAAGGTGACTTATTTGACTCTACTGGAGGCTAAATGCACATATGTGCCCTGTGTTCACCAAGCAAGAGCATACTGAGCTATCACTTATTCCACATACAATAGGAAGTTCAACATATACGTTTGTTATTTGCCACTGTTTGGTGATTTACAGCACTAGCCAAGTGCAGTGCTTTCTCTTTGAGTTACTTCCTCTATACTTAAGGAATGATTACTGAATTTGCATTAGCTCTACTATGCCACACAAGTAAAAACAATCTTTCACTCCTGTCGATATGAATAAATAACGTTAAACAACAGGATCCATATGAACATGCACACATGTGCACTGTCCCATAGAGGAGTATCACCTCCAATGTGTATATATATTATGTATATATTAATCAATAACCACCACACTAGAATGAGTTTGTGTGTCAAACTTTAGGTCTAAGGTGCCCCCAAAATTTACTATTTCTGCTTTGAGTATTCTGGAAAGACCACTGATTTGGTCCACCTATTCTGCTGGAACACCAATATTTACTGTGCATGCTGCAAACAGATCTCATAGCTTTAGTATGCCTTTCAACCATTGCATATATTAATTTATATTCAAAGTTATCCCCAAATATACAAAAAATAGGTTTATGTATGCTAACATTAATGTTGGATGATGCTGAAAAATGTTAGATAGCTTGGGATGAGCAAGGAAACCAGAACCAGGCACTTATGGCATTAACCTAATTAACCTAATATTCTTTAGCTGAAGGACACAAGTTCTTTATTCTATAGGGTCCTTTCCCAAATGAGACTGCCACTTTAGTAAGCAAGAAATTACCAAGAGTTGTCATATTGTTTTCAATGGTATCATGATAAATCCTCATGGTATACACTGCTTCCCACTCTGATCCTTTCCTTTCTGCCAAGTTGGACATTCATTATACACTATATATGAGAAAGAAAGCAAGAGGGCATACTTTCAAATTCATATCATACATTTCTGATACGAACTGAAACACAGTATCTGAACTCCAACGAATTATTCATACCTCACACTATACACAGACAAAAGTCAGTATTTTAAACAAATATTTTCGAATATTTTATTTCAAATAAACCAGCAATAAATCTGGTTTGGGCACTTGAAGGCAATATTGTGAGATAAACAGTCAGTTAACTACACATGAGGAGCAGGGTCAGATCTGTTGCAACTGTACAGGCAAATTAAATGAAAATGCGTACAAAAGTCCTTGGAAGCCAAAGAATGCCAATGTGATAGCGTAATTAATTTATATTCTTTCTCAGTTTTTCATGAATGACCCTCTGCATTAAAAATTGAGAAGCCACTTGGAAGCTGGCATGCACCAAGAAAGGTACTCTACGTCAGAGAAGTGACTAGGCAATCAAAAGGCACCAGTTCATTTACATTACTAGGATGAGACACGGTCAAACCAATGTGTTCCTGCAAAGAAGTAACACAATTCGGTGCCGGGGTGAGCATCAGCATGGTATTGAATGCAGCATTGCAATCCACAGGGTAGAGGGGAGGGTAAGTGAGGGATCAGCTGCGCTCACAAGGTTTCCTGAACGTGCCATGCTAATGGGGAACACCTATCCCATGGTAAAGACATTCTAGGAAACAGAGGACAGGCCACAAAGATTTTTGTTCTTATAAATACCTCTCTGCTAACGGCAGATTTATACAAGCACACTCCCCAGGGAATTGGCTATGCTTTAAGGTCAATATCAGCAAAGAGCAATTGCTGCAGTTGATCAGCCTCTCTCTCAGATGTGCAACAGTTCAAGAATCCTCACATTCTGTTCATTTTTCATGAAGAGAGACAAGTACAGAAGGAAAGGATTATTTTTACAGTGCTACCAAGTAGCATCCTTTGGCTGGACATGCCCCATCTTGATCCTTGAAAATTACCTCCCTACTTTTCCAAGTATCAGGCTGTTGAGGCTGAAACGAACTGCACAACTGAACTCCTGCCTGTATTTAATTAATAACCAGATGCCTTATTTTAAAATATAACTTTTCTTTAAGTTACATCCTTTTCTTCAGTTTTCAGTTGGAAACTTGGCCTAAATGACAGCTGTGTAGGCCTCACCCCAGCTTGGCTCAGCAGGAGCTCTAATATACTTCATTCTGGGGCTGGGAGCTGCTTTTAATCTACCAGCACGACTCCGCAGCTGCTGTAAGCTAGCTGAAAATTGTCTGCATACACAGGGTTTAAAATTTTGTAACCCTTTTGGTGCAACTTGCATTTAGAAAGGAACTCAGAAAAGCAGCCACCAAGGTCTCTGGAGAGTTAAAGGAAAGCTCGAGACAAACAGTCTGCGGGGCTTGGAGGGCACGTCAGAGACCTCTGAGCAGATTAGGAGTTTTCCTGAGTTCACAAGTTCAAATACCAATTTCCAGTAACTGTTTGAATGGACTTAGCCTTGTTGTAAGCCTGACAATCAGACTGCAAGCCAGGCAAATAAATATTTTTGCCTTATGCTAGATGCCTTTAGCAATTAAAAACATCTCTGTGTATTTTTAAGAGCGATTGGCCTGAAGTTTGCTCTGTCTCTCATTTACAACTTTTACGAAAGTGAACAAACATTACAACCTCTTCCCAGAAAGCATGCTGCAAAGCAATTACTTCACATACACAAGACAAACTTCAAGTACTCATAAAGTAAAATGAAACTGTGTAGAAGTGTTAAATCTGCTACTGCCATCAACAGAAACTACACACAGTACAGTAACACGGCGTCATCTATTCCAGTGGGACTCAGAGAGGACGGATATGAAACTATTGCCAAATATTTACACTTCCAATTCTTACAAAATATCCTGAGTCCCTGAGGGATTAAGCATAATCTCACATGTCAACAACCACCAACAAAAACTTTAAATATGGCTGCAACATGTTTTAAAAAACTTCACTGTGGTCACTGTTAAAACTTCCCTTGCTTTTTCTGTTTTTCAGTAGAGGCACCAAAGAACCACCTCCTCTCCTCGAGAAGTATGGCACTGCTATGACCTGCCAGTGCTGGCTGCAAGTCACTGAGGCATGTTCCTCCATGGCTGCCCAGAACCTGGGGCTTGGCAATAGCCCCTCTGCTGCCATGATCCCCTGCACTCTGAGTGGGGCAGGCCCCATGGATAAGCACCAAGGGCCCAGTTAACATTTTAATCAACTTGGGTCCAGAAGATGGGACACCAGCAAACAACCAGAAATTGAAATGTGTGATGTGGAGCTCTGCAGAAAGCCATCCGAGAGTGCTCCATCAGCCCCACCTGGGGAAACAGCCTCTTCCCACCTTCCCACAAGCACATTTCCTTTGCATATGCAAGGCCTGAAAATGCTCCTCCTTTTCTGATCCACTGTAAGGAGCTCAGCGTACAAGGGTTCAAGTGTGCATACAGGGCAAAAGCAATTTCATACGGCTGCTGTTCAGTGTGGCCCTCTTGCCAGACCCTGCCCAGCGGAGGCTTGTAGGGATGTGGTACTAACCCTCCTGCAGAGCGACTTTCACAAACATGTGGAACAGTTTTCAAGGGTCTTAAGTAATTTGTGGAGACTTTCACAAGCACACCTCCTAAACAAAGAATATTCCCATGCTAATTTTCTACCTTCAAGCACTGGAGATATACAGTAAAACCAAAACAGTAAAAATCAGAAGACCTATTCCACCATCTTCTAATTACTGCTTCTCCTAAGAAAAAGCCTACTGCCGTGTATTTTAAATACACAAAGCTACTGCAGGCTGGAAAATAGAAACCAGGACTCTGAGGCATCACCTGCTGCAGGATGCCAGTAAGGATCTCTCCTTCCAGACAGAAGGTTGCACAGCCCTGGGCTGGCAGCTACGTGGTCCTCATGGGGCCTCCATGTATTTTGGCAGCATTATCCTTCACAGATTCTAGGGGCCCCCTTCTTTGAGCTGACTTTGCCTTTTCGGTATTTGCTAACTTCTTTTCTTCCTCACCCCATGCGTTAATTACTCTTCTCTGCTGAGGTCACTTGAGTTTGCCTTTGCCAAATCCTTTTGCTCCAGTTGGTGGTCTATTTGGCCTGGTTGAACCTTTATACTTTAATTTATTGTGTGATTTCATTGTGCAGTGCTTGCAGGCCGGCCAACTGGCCCATTATGAATGTATTGAATTCTATACAGTTATGTGCATGTGTACACAAACATGCACCTCTTTCCTGCCATTTACTTCCTTCTGCAGCCATCTGTAATGGAGCAGGGTCCTATGATGTGGAAGGTTTGACTTAGCTCCTCTGTTTTAATGACTGTAATCCACAAGGAGCAGTAAAAACAGCCAGCATGGTGCCCAGTCCCTCAGCTGCCAAGTGTATGCTACACTCTAGGAAAAGAAGCTAGGAGGTTAACATTACCTGAAATTATTACCTGAACATTACCTGTTCCACATACTGAAAAAATTACCTTTAAGTGCCCACTAGCTTTTAGAAAGGGCCAGAAAAACCCTCACCCTGAAATCAAAGGCCAATTCCAAAATCTCAGATTCCTAGAAGAATTGATACAACAGCAGCTGTATCTCTTTCATTTGAGTAATTATCATATAATTAAGTGCATGAATTACAAGAGAGCCAAGGCATTAAATTAAAATATTTAATGCTTGTAAATCTGAAAATGATTACTGTGCTGATGTGCAGCTACTGAGCAGCGAAGCTAATGGCAACATAACAGAACCACCAGCCTCCTGTTATTCTTCCACACCTCACAGAAGGCATCAACATTTTGGAAATCTTTTTGCTAAAAGGAGAAAAATTACCTTTGATTCTTTAAACGTAGGAACTGATCCTTAGAAATTGTACACCTAAGGACTGAAAGAGCAAAGGAGAAATAAATATCTGAGCTACAATTCAATAGTCTCATAGTTGCATTGGGAGACTTAAAAGCTCATAGAATGGCTTGGGTTGGAAGGGACCTTAAAGCTCATCCAGTTCCAACCCCCTGCCATGGGCAGGGACACCTTGCACTAGAGCAGGTTTCTCCAAGCCCCATCCAACCTGGTCTTGAACACTGCCAAGGATGGGGCAGCCACAGCTTCTCTGGGCAGCCTGTGCCAGGGCCTCACCGCCTTCAAAATGGAAACTTCTTGTTGAGAATCTTAGAAAGCCAAACAGAACAGGCATTCCCAGCATTTTCTTTATAGTGCACCATGTTTTATTGCCCAAATTTAGCTTCATCCAAGCTCAGTCATCAGTTTACAGGATGCGACTTTAAGCAACTCAAATAAGTCAGATAACCAGGGATCTCTATTCAAGGCATTTTCGAAGCTAGAAGAAATCCTTGACACTACAAAGTCTAGCTCTTGAGATCTGGGGGCAAACTGTTTTCACTTCCCTGAAAAAAAAAAAGGTGTTATGTTAAAATTCTTTTCTGAAGTGCAGAAAAACCCATTCATGTTTCTCCAGCATGTCATTTCTGTTTGCTTAAATAAGCTAGAAGTGGACATTGCACTGGCCCAAGAGAGATCCACAGGCAGTACAGGAGCTGGTTTTGTGCCAAATCCCTGCAGGTCTTTAGGTGCTGAAACAGTTTCAGGGACATTTCTAGACTGGAGATGTTCTCTCCCCTCCTTACTTCAGGTCCAGCCTCAGGGGATGTGCCAAGCCAGGCCCTCAGACAGCTCTGCCTCCTGCCATGAGCTGATGCCATCCTCCACAGCAAGGACATGGATGTGGCCACAGCACATCATCAGCCTGGAGAGACTCAGCACAACATTTCTACTCTTTTCTTTATTTACACTGATATTTTAAACATTGAAAAACAAAAGAAATCCAACATATCTTTGGCTGGAATTTCACTGAAGAATCCTTTTGTGTCACAGAAACACAACTGCCATGAAAATACAACTGTAGTGAACACTGTACACTGGAATGGCAAATGAATGGCTTCAGGCAGTCTAAGGGGTTCTGGCTAAGGATGGAGGCAAAATATGTGGTTAGCCCTCCTCCCTTTGAAAGGCACAACCAGTTCCTCAGAATGAACGGATAGGGGAGAGGGCCCAGGATTTGTACAGCAGAGGGGATGTGTGTACTTTTCATATATATATATTTACACATATACATATACCTATACATATTTTTATATATATATATAAAAGCACACACCAAAAAATCAGGAAAACAACTATGAAAACATAAATGTTGCATCTAGGGACACAATAAATAAGACAAGTTATATAACTTAAAATGAACTGCCATCAGCTAATGCATGAACAACATATACTGGCACCCCCTTCAGAACAAAAGTTTATAACCATAAGCCCTAGAAAAGGCAACACAATAGACATTTGTTATCTAAGTGACTGTTTCAAAGGTGTTCCAGCACTTCTGACCAGGAGTCTTCCTGAAATCCCCCAAAGGCCACCAAAACCTAGACACTTAGCAGCCCTAGTAAGCTATAGCCTTTAATTAACTCGGAGAAAGGTGATTCTTATGTACCAAATGAATGGCTTTTAATTACAGTACCTGGAAAAAGGAAAAGGTACTTTTGAAGTGTTGCCTAAAGGACATTTAATATTCTTTGTAAGATGAAAGTGGTGTAGAAATAGATCTAATGAGAACAATCAGTTTCTTTTCTTGGCAATATTCACTACCTTTAGGTGTCCTGCACCAGTGTTATCACTATCTTGGAGTGTTTTTTTTCTAAAAAATTATTCATGTTTTTTTCTGGGCTTATTTCTCACTTACGTCTCCTGTAACTTGGAATGATGGCAACAGAAATGAGTGAGAGTGGGTGAGTACCTGTCTAAGTGTTACAATGCGCAACACAGGTGAGTCTGGCCCATGTGTGTGAAGATGTCTGTTTGTAAGGTTACTGGAAGGTCATGTTTTGGCCTTGTCTTTGGGAAAAGGCTGCCTCTCCTTTCAACTGTCAGGTGACGCTCCCTGTTACAAAAGTTGAACAGTGGAAGACATTAATACTGTTATAAATACTTCAGGTACGTATATATGCTAATAACTTCTGTAGTAATCTCCAAAGCATCTGACTTTCATGTGCCAAATACCTTATCATCACAAGGTGGTAATAAAAAATAGCCACAAGGGAAGGGTAACCTTTTCCTAGTAGTAAGGAAGCCAGGGTTTCATAGTTACTATGTAATTAATTCACTTTTCAGGAATCAAAACACCCTAAAGCAAAAACAAGCTCAACAGACTTGTAATAACATACTATTGTAGTGTTAAGCCCTCTTATTCCTTAACAAAAATCTATCCATTCCATTTCGTCTCGACTGTGAAATCCCTGACCCACACAGTAACCACCTCCTGCCTTAACTGTGGCATTTTCCTTTGCCTTGATCTCCTTGCATCTTGGTTTTCCAGCCCCTGGTGGGGCCAAGGTCACATTGGAGGCATCTCACTGTCCTTCGGCTCAAAATCTGAGATTCCTCCCTGGATCTCAGGGAATTTCAAGTTTAGATTCTTATAATCTTTGCAGGTGCAAAGAGTTTCTTGCTAAAGCACACCTCAGCCACAGATGTCTACGCTTCCGCTAGGTTCCAGCTTAACTTCTTTACGACTTGCGTCAGATCCCACTGCCACTAGTCTACTCAGGGTAGGACACACCAGGGTAAGTTACCTGCCCTGACAGACACCACTGCACTTGTAGGCACCTGACGACTGCTTGCGCAAAGCTCTCCATCACCTTCTGTAAACCTCTGCAAACTGAGCCCAGCTCTGCACCTTCACATGCTGCACCCAGCATCCTGGGTGCTCCAGCTGCTCCAGTAAAATGTCTGGCTTTATCTGCTGTGCTTTGCACAGAGCAGAGGATGTTTACAGTGCTGTGTGAAAAAAATAAACACAGAAATGCTCAGTGTACTTCAAAGTATACATTCTGATTACAAAATGTTTTTTATGCGGATCACTCACAGCTAGAGCAGAAACTATCAGTTAATTTTCAGCACGGACCTCCTAGGAAGGTGAGGTTATACCTGTCTGTTCTGGCAAGACTTTAAAGGGCCGTTTCCTTTATTTGTTATATTTGCTAAAAATGGAAATATTATTTGGATGTTAATAAAGATCAACACTGACAGTAGCTGTAATTATACTTTACATACCTGATAATTAAAACCTGAGCTTACAAATAATTGAATTTAGAATAATATATGTAAAATTTTAAAAGTTGGCCCTCTTCAGGGATGTATTGAGAAAGAAGGCAGATATTACAGTCTTAAGACATTTTTGCAATCATGGGATACAAGAGATGGCTGAAAACTTGAAAAGATTATGCAAGTGCAACAATTTTTGACACGGGGACAAAGAGCTGTACTTCGGTTTCATTCCCCTTTTAATCAAAAGGCTAATTGCCCCCATTTTACATTATGTTTATATGGTCCATTTTATAAAATCCCATGTACCATTTGCTGATTCTGTATTCAGTGAGCATGTGCAGGAAGCGAGTCAACAAGGGACCACAACTGACTTTGCAGCACGAGTAGAGGAGCAATTGTGGAAAGGTTACCACTGACACAGGAGATTGAATTTACCAGTTGTCCTGATGGACAGCCTTAATTTGGGCAATTATACCCTGCTCAATATGTATAAACACTGTAAATCATCCTAATTTTAGCTTGGAAGAGGAGATTAGGGCAGCATGGATAAACTATTTATCAATGTATATAGCACAATATATGTTTTGCTCTGTAGCAGCATACATAAAATACAAATGTAATCTATATGTTCACAAAGGAGTTTAGGTCAGCTGTCAAAGCAAAATTGGTTGTGGTTTTATTATTGCATACTTAGTAAGCACTTAAGGCACTAAACCTAACCACAGGTCACTCCCAGGGACCAGAGCCTGCTAAAACACTGAGTCGCTTCCAGGTTTCTTTGCTTGTTTGTTTTTGATAGAGTTATCTACAGTCTGAACACAATCATGCATTGATTTCATTTCCAACAACAGCAGACATTTTGCCATATATTTTAACAGGAAAGTTTGAAGGCATATTTACACAGAAGTACACAGGACAGTGCTAATGCTGAAAGAACTAATCCAGTTAAGCACCTGTGAAGGATCACAATTCACCACAAGACAGAGAAGCACTGCACATTCTCGTGCACTAAATATTATCACTAGTTGTGCCACAGCACTGTTCCCACAGTACAAAACCTGGCAGATACACAGGGCCCATGAGTAACCTGAGCACTGCTGCCCAGGCACAGGCTAACGTGCCTCTACTCCACTTCCCTGGCACCAGCCACACCACTGCCCACTGCAGCCATGCTCCTTCAGACACAAGTCGTCTTCTTCCCAGCCACACTTCCCTATGCAAAAGCAAAGCAACCCTACACAGGCCTGTTCTACCCCTGCCACCCACAGCTGCCCACGCTGTAGAAACCAGAGATCCGGGGTGGGTCAGACTTTCCTGGCCTCACACCTTCCCCTGGGAAGCCCTGCCTGCAGGGCAGCGGAGATGGATGTGGCCATCCCAGCTCTCCCACGTGCTGGGAGCTCCCTGGGGCTCAGCTCCACTCCCTGCCCTGCCTGCCTTCCGTGCCGCAGTGCGCTGTGCAGCCGGCTGCTTCGCCAGATCCTGCCCCCAGCGTCCTCACAACAGCTGTGGGCTTAATTACCAAAATAACATTTTAATAGTCTCATAACTGAACTCCCTTCCAAACATGCCGGTGGAGAGGCTGCGAGGATTCCTTTAACATCTTCAGCTAAACTTACTAATAGGTTGCATTTAAGTGATTAGGCTGTCCTAATGTGTGTCATTTACTGTTGGAGCCATCCCTCTCACCTCCAATTGCCATTTGCTGTCTCTCATTTCCTAAGTGACTCTATTATCTGTGTAAGTATGGAGGTGGTCAGCACTCCCACACACCAGATCTCTGAGGAAAGCAGAAGACCTGGAAATTACCATGGAGGTAGTATCCCTGCCTCTCATTATCTCCCCCTTTTGTTTTTGAGTTTTTAAAGGGACTAATACATTGGTACCCAATCAGCACTGCCAAAGAAGTGAATGCGCTAAGTGTACTTATACGAATTATTTAAGATCACTAGGGGTTTACTTGCTTTGAGCACTTGAAATAAAAAAAATGGAAAAAAAAAATAA